TTCTGAAGCTGGGAGACCGCGGCAGCTGGGCAGGACGGTCGGGGGCAAGAGCGTTGGCACCTTGGCAATCTCCCGGGCGTTGAGGGCCTCTTGGTTCACCAGGTGCAGCGCCTCCAGCTCGTGTTTGGTTCTCACCACCTCAGCCTCCATGAAGTCCAGCCGGTTCTCCAAGTGGAGGCTCTCGTCCTGGGGCGTCGTGGGGGGGAGATGAGGCAGGCCTGTGACTGCTGTCCCTAGCCTCTGCTTACCCCCTCACCCGAGCCCTCCTAGTCCCTACCTGTAGATAGTCCTTGAGCTGCAGGTACACGCTGGTAATGTGCTCGGCCTCCTCCGCCTTCATCCGGGCCTTCTCCAGTCGGTTCTCCAGGTTCCGCATGGTCTAGAGAGCGGCAGGGCTGGGCTGAGTGCCCTCCGCACTTGATCCCTCCCACAGGACCCTCTGCCCTGCAGGCCTCTCTCGGCCCTACCTTGGCCACCTCCGAGTGGCTGTTTTGCGCCTCCGCCATCTCCAAGTGGCGCAGGCTGTGCTGGAGCTGGAGCTCCTCCAGCCGCCTCTGCCGCAACACCACCTGGTGCTGCAGGGCGTTCCGCTGCTTCACCTTCTCGCTCAGCCGGTGGTCTAGGTGCTCCAGAGCCTGCTGCAAGGGGCCGAGCGAAAGCAGGGGCCTGAACACCCCATCCCAGCACACACCCTTCCTTCTCCCATACTGTGGCTTCCAGGACACCCCTCTCCAGTTTTCTACCCACCTCCCTGGCCATCCCTTCTGTGTTGTTTTTGGAGACAGAGCACCAGGCTCTTCTCTCTGTCCACACTGACCACCTTGGTGGTGATCGTACACACACTCAGGGTTCTAAATTTTTTTTTTTTTTTTTTTTTTTTTTTTTGAGATGGAGTATTGTTCTGTCACCCAGGCTGGAGTGCAGTGGCATGATCTCGGTTCACTGCAACCTCTGCCTCCCGGGTTCAAGCGATTCTCCTGCCTCAGCCCCTGAGTAGCTGGGATTACAGGCGTGAGCCACTGTGCCTGGCCATTTTTTTTTCTTTATTTATTTTTGAAACGGAGTCTCACTCTCTCCCCCAGGCTGGAGTGCTGTGCCTGGATCTTGGTTCATTGCAACCTCTGTCTCCTGGGTTCAAGTAATTCTCCTGCCACAGCCTCCTGAGTAGCTGGGATTACAGGTGACCACCACCATGCCTGGCTAATTTTTTTTATAAAACAGAGTCTCATTCTGTTGCCCATCCTGAAGTGCAGTGGCATGATCTCGGCTCACTGCAACCTCCGTGTCCCAGGTTCAAGCAATTCTCTTGCCTCAGCCTCCCAAGTAGCCAAGAATAGAGAAGTGTGCCACCACACTAGTTGAATTTTTGTATTTTTAGTAGAGATGGGGGGTTTCACCATGTTGGCCAGGCTGGTCTCGAACTCCTGACCTCAGGTGATCCACCCACCTTGGCCTCCCAAAGTGCTGGGATTACGGGTTTTAGCCACTGTGCTCAGCCAATATGAGCTGTTTTTAGAAGTGGGGACTTGGTCTGTTTTTTTGTTTGTTTTTTTGTTTGTTTGTTTGTTTAAAGACAGGATTTCACCATGTTGGCCAGGCTGGTCTTGAATTCCTGACCTCAGGTGATCTGCCTGCCTTGGCCTTCCAAAGTGCTGAGATTACAGGCGTGAGCCACCACGCCCGGCCAACTTGGTCTGTTTTTTCACTGCATTTACGACCATGTCAGGATGCCAGGTCCAAGGACAGTGAGTAATAAAGATGTAATTGAATGAGCACATGAATGGCAGATGGTGCGCAGAAAGGATTGGAGAGGGTGAGCCTGGAGTCCAGCACTGAGGGGACCCAGGCTGGTAATGAAGGATGAGGTGGGGAGAGGGTGGGGCAAACCTGGCCTGTCCTGTTTTTGAGGTATGGCTTCTCCGACTTCCATTCTCGTATCACTGCCTGGACCACTTTCTCATCTCCCTGCACAGAGGAGAGTGCAGTCACTTTCATCATGCCATCTCTAGCTGAGGCCAGGTGCTGTCTCCTTGCCCCACCACCCCCCATGGGAACTCCTCCACCCATCTCTTCACCCCTTACCTTGAGCAGGTCCAGCAGCTTTAGTTCCAGTGCCTTAGTCTCCTCACGGAGCTGACTGATGGTCTCCTGGTTCTTCTTGATGTTCCACTGCTGAGCTCTCAAAAAAAGCCTTCCGGTCACCCTCTGCCGGGCAGGTGAGGTGGACAGACACACAGTTACTGGGTGGGTGGGTGCAACAGCCCAGAGAGACCTTTTTTTGCAATCATCAACTTAATATTATAAGAACGCAGCTCTCTCTGATCCATGCCTCCAAGGTGACAAAGAAAAGAAGGAACAAGGGTTGTGCCAAAAAGGGCCGTGGCCACGTGCAGCCTATTCTCTGCATGAACTGTGCCCGATTCGTGCCAAGGACAAGGCCATTAAGAAATTTATCATTCGAAACAATGGAGGCTGCAGCAGTCAGGGACATTTCTGAATTGAGCGTCTTCGATGCCTATGTGCTTCCCAAGCTGTATGTGAAGCCACATTACCATGTAAGCTGTGCAATTCACAGCAAAGCAGTCAGGCATCAATCTCATGAAGCCAGCAAGGACCGAACATGCCACCCCGATTTAGACCTGCACCTGCCCCATGACTCCCACCAAAGCTCATGTAAGGACTGAGTCCTTACAGACTGAAGATAGACTATTCTCTGGAGAAAAATGAAATGGAAATTGTACTAAAAAAAAAAAAAAAAGAATGCAGTCATCAACCAGCCTGGCGACATGGTGAAACCCTATCTCTACTAAATATACAAAAATTAACCAGGTGTAAAGCCAGGCACGGTGGCTCATTTCTGTAATCCCAGCATTTTGGGAGGCCAAGGCGGGCAGATCACATGGTCAGGAGATTGAGACCATCCTGGCCAACATGGAGAAACCCTGTCTCTACTAAAAATACAAAATTAGCTAGGCATGGTGTTGTATGCATGTAATCCCAGCTACTGGGGAGGCTGAGGCGGAATAATCGCTTGAACCTGGGAGGTGGAGGTTTCGGTGAGCCAAGATCGCATCACTGCACTCCAGCCTGGGCAACAAAAGCAAAAACTCCGTCTCAAAAAAAAAAAAAAAAAAATGTAGAGACATGGTCTCATTATGTTGCCAGGGTTGTTCTCAAACTTCTGGCCTCCAGTGAGCCTCTTATCTTGGTCTCCCAAAGTGCTGGGATTACAGGCATGAACCATCATGCTCAGCCTGTGAATACTGTATTTTCAATCTGCATTTAGTTGTGGACTCGGAATCCGGGAATACAAAGGGCTGACTATATTTACTGAAACAAATCTGAGTATAGGATCTGTGGCCAGGCACGGTGGCTCACGCCTGTAATCCCAGTACTTTGGGAGGCTGAGGTGGGTGGATTGCTTGAGCTCAGGAGTTCCAGACCAGCCTGGGCACATATGGTGAGACCCCGTCTCTATTAAAACTACAAAAAAAGTGGTCTGGCATAATGGTGTAAGCCTGTGAGTCCCAGCTACTCAGGAAGCTGAGATGAAAGGATTGCTTGAGCCCAGGAGTTGGAGACCAGCCTGGGCAGTATAGTGAGAATCCATCTCTACAGAAAAGAAAATTAGCCAAGCACGGTGGTGTACGCCTGTAGTCCCAGCTACTTGGGAGGCTGAGGTGGGAGGACTGCTTGAGCCCAGGAGGTTGAGGCTGCGGTGAGCTATTGTTGAACCACTGCACTGAAGCCTGAACAGGAGAGTAAGACCCTGTCGAAAAGAAAAAAGGCTAGCCGTAGTGGCTCACACATGTAATCCTAGAACTTTGGGAGGCCAAGGCGGGTGGATCACTTGAGGTCAGGAGTTCGAGACCTGCCTGACCAACATGGTGAAACCCCATCTCTACTAAAAATATAAAAATTAAGTGAGGTGGCATGTGCCTGTAGTCCCAGCTGCTTGGGAGGCTGTGGCACGAGAATCGCTTGAACCTGTGGAGGTTGCAGTGAGTCAAGATCATGCCACTCCTGTCCAGCCTAGGTGGCAGAGAGATCCTGTCTCAAACAAACAAACAAACAAACAAAAAAAGAGAGACAGAGAGAGGGAGAGAAAGTTACAGGAAAGTTTGAGATACAGTTCACTCGGTTCTGAGCTCATGAGAAGTTTTAAGAGAGAGAGGAGGAAAAACATGAACAAATACGAGTTTTGCCCAGAAGCTGTTCACCTAGACTCATGCTGGAGAAATACCTTTGTCACACCATGCCTGGTCAGAAGATTGTATGGATACTGTTGACCCCTGACCCTCTGTGCCCTCTGGAGCCATCTTACCTAGCAGTTGTATCTTTCTACGTAATTCAGCCACCTGCGAGTGCATAGAGGACTTCCCTGCACCTCTGCGGAAGGATCCTGCCTTGGAACGGCCGAGGGTCCAAGCCTGGGTTGCACCCTTTCCTCGGAGATGGCTGGGTTTGCCCGAAGTCTCCCTGCCCTTGACCTTGGAAGAGGGCGTCGAAGCCTGATCCTGAGGAGGCAGGGCGTTGGCGGAGGCCGCCCTGCACAGGGGGGACGTCATGATGGGGTCGGGGCCGAAGGCCCCTAGGGGTTAGGGGGACAACTAGGAGTCAATCGCCCCTGTCAGTGATCGGTCAGCTCGGATTCCTAGGGCTCTGAAAAATGCACTTTCCAACCGCTAGGCGGTTGCTCTCCGCATCTCTCGGTTGCTAGGTAACCGCCTCCTCTTCTCCCTCCAGTGTTTCCATGGAGACTTACACGCGTTCCATGGCTGACACTGCGTTCTCATTGGTTGACGCTGCATGGAGGGACAGTCCCAACAGTGGGCGGAGCAGAGCCGGGCAGCAGGACAGAGGGTCAGGACACTTTAGGGTCACGTGATCATCCCATTTCCGCCCCCCCCAACCCTTTCCCGCTCCCGGGGGTTCGCAGGCATTTTTCAGGAACTTTCTTTCCGTCTAGAGAAGCCGCCACTCCCAAGATGGTGGTACGTTGCGCCGCCATTAAGAGCGAGCCCTCAGAACTGTCCTCTCTAAGGCGTCACACTCCTGGCCAAGATGGCCGTCTCGGCTCTAGCACCTCCCCCACTCCTGCCACTCCCAACATGGCGACCCTGACTCGCTGTTCCTGGTGCGGGACGAACTACCGGTAGTGACGCCTCCCAGATATTTCCGCTTTCTCTTTGCAGCTGGAACCGTGCCTGCGGAACAAGACGGGTGCGGTGGCTACTGACCTTTGCCCCGGCCTCGTGTAGGTGATGAACGAGCGGGTGGGAGTTTACTTTAATTTCCTACAGGGGCGCAACGGGAGGGTGCATGTGTGGGTGTGGACGGCGGAGACTGTTAACCCTTTTGGCCTATTGGCGGGAATTGGGCCACAACTAGGCACAGGAAGCGAGGTTTGGAGATCCTCGCCATTGATTTGAGCCAAGTGAGACTGGCTAGGATTAGGGAGATCGCTGCCCTTCGCCTCTATGTGGGAAACAAAGTGAGGCCTCGTTGCCTGGAAGCGATGGAGGAATCCGGTTAACTGGAAGTAGCCCTCTCCCACTGATCGGATCCCGTTTCTTGCTGCAGCGTGGGGATACAGCGCATCTCCTCGCCGTCGGCTTCCTCCTACAGAACCCGTTTCGGGCCTGAGAGCCTCTGGTGAAATGCTGCTGCCGCTGCTTCTGCTGCTACCCTTGTGCTGGGCGGTGGAGGTCAAGAGGCCCCGGGGCGTCTCCCTCACCAGTGAGTTCACCCTCCCGCCAGGCTGGAGGTGGGAGAAGCCAACATTGGGCCTTGGGGATAGGCATTTACAACCTTTTGCCTCAGTTTCCCGGCTGTGCTCCGCTGGTGGGGGTGGGAGGGCAGAGGTGGTGGGTGGTGGAGAAGGCCGCTTCCTGCCCTCACGTGAGCTTCCTGCGCCCTCACAGATCATCACTTCTACGATGAGTCCAAGCCTTTCACCTGCCTGGACGGTTCAGCTACTATCCCATTCGATCAGGTCAACGATGACTATTGCGACTGCAAGGATGGCTCTGATGAGCCAGGTGAGCTTTTTCTCTGTTCATGCATCAGATATTTATTGAACACTGCTCAGTGCCGGGCCTGTCTGTGTGACCAAGATATTCCATGTGCTGGTTCTCCGTTAAGTGGGCAGAAACAAGCCCAGAAGTCAGTGGTCAGTGTGATGGCCCTGGGTAGCTGGAGGAGCCCAGAGTCCTCCTACCCCCGAAGTCTGGGGGTCAAAAAAGGCTTCTCCAAGGAGGTGAGGTTTCAGTCGAATCCTGAAGGTGCTGCAGATGGAGGGGCCAACGTGGGCAAACCCCTAAAAGTGGGAGACAAGGTGGGGCCAAGAGCAATCCAGGAGGAGACAGAGGCGAAGGGAAGCCCTGGGTTTTTGTTTTTGTGTTTTTTGAAGAGACAGGGTTTTGGTCTGTTGTTGGCTGGAGTACAGTGGTGTGATTGTAGCTCTCTGCTGAGCTCAAGTCATCCTCCTGCCTTGCCCTCCCAAACTGCTACAGGTTACAGGTTCGAGCCGCCAGGATGAGACCCTTTTTTTTTTTTTTTTTTTTTTTGGCAGAGTCTTGCTCTGTCGCCCAGGCTGGAGTGCAGTGGCGGGATCTCGGCTCACTGCAACCTCCGCAGTTTCAAGGGATTTTCCTGCCTCAGCCTCCTGAGTAGCTGGGACCACAGGTGTGCACACCACGCCCAACTAAAATTTTTGTATTTTTAGGAGAGACAGGGTTTCACCATATTAGTCAAGATGGCCTCCATCTCCTGACCTCATGATTTACCCATCTCGGCCTCCCAAAATGCTGGGATTACAGACATGAGCCACTATGCCCTGCCTTTTTTTTTTTTAATTTATTTTTTTTGAGATGGAGTTTTGTTCTTATCTCCCAGGCTGGAGTGCAACGGCACTATCTCTGCTCACCTCAACCTCCACCTCCTGGGTTCAAGCAATTCTCCTTCCTCAGCCTCCCAAGTAGCTGGGATTACAGATGGACGCTACCACGTGTGGCTAATTCTTCATATTTTTAGTAGAGATGGAGTTTCACCATTCGGCTAGTCCCGTCTCAAACTCATGACCTCAGGTGATCCACCCGCCTCAGCCTCCCAAAATGCTGGGATTACAGGTGTGAGCCACCGCACCTGGCCGAAACCCTGTTTTGAAGGGCTTCAGTGAGGAGAGGCAGAAGTGCTCTGCAGGAGCACCGCAGAGCTTGACCTGAGCCCTGGGGGTGCAGTGCACAGCTCCTTCCTTCCCTTGGTCGTTCTGTTTCTTGTACTCTTTGTATGTAGTGTGGGTCAGGGGCCTTTTTTTTTTTTTTTTTTTTTTTTGAGACGGAGTTTCGCTCTTGTTACCCAGGCTGGAGTGCAATGGCGTGATCTCGGCTCACCGCAACCTCCGCCTCCTGGGCTCAGGCAATTCTCCTGCCTCAGCCTCCTAAGTAGCTGGGATTACAGGCACGCGCCACCATGCCCAGCTAATTTTTTGTATTTTAGTAGAGACGGAGTTTCACCATGTTGACCAGGATGGTCTCAATCTCTTGACCTTGTGATCCACCCGCCTCGGCCTCCCAAAGTGCTGGGATTACAGGCTTGAGCCACTGCACCCGGCTTTTTTTTTTTTTTAAGAGACAGGGTCACATTCTGTCGCCCAGGCTGAAGTGCAGTGGCACAATCTCAGCTCGCGGCAACCTCCCCATCCTGGGTTCTAACAATTTCCTGCCTCAGCCTCCCAAGTAGCTGGGACTACAGGCGCACGCCACTAAACCCAGCTAATTTTTGTATTTTAGTAGAGTCGGGTTTCATCATGTGGCCCAGACTGGTCTCGAACTCCTGAGCTCAGGCAATCTACCCGCCTCAGCCTCCCAAAATGCTAGGATTACAGGCGTGGGCCACCTCGCCCGGCCTGTCAGGGGCTCTTGTCTGTGGATGGGTGGGACATGTCTGGCTCTGAGCTGACTGAAAACCTTCCCTCCCTTCTTTCTCCCAGGCACGGCTGCCTGTCCTAACGGCAGCTTCCACTGCACCAACACTGGCTATAAGCCCCTATATATCCCCTCCAACCGCGTCAACGATGGCGTTTGTGGTGAGTGAGGATGCACCAGGATTCAAGAAAGGTGCTGGAGGGAGGGAGGAGGCGCTGCCAGGTCTGATCTCGGCCCCTGTTTCTGCCGCAGACTGCTGCGATGGAACAGACGAATATAACAGCGGCGTCGTCTGTGAAAACACCTGCAAGTACGTGGGTGACAGTACCCCTCCTGTCATCACACCCCAGGACTTTGCCTGACCCCACCCAATGAATCAGGCCCACTCTCTTTTCTGCTTTTCTGTATCGGGTGCTCCGTTTGTGCCAGGTGCCTTGTGAATCCTAATCACCACCTTTCCCTCTAGTCTGGAAGCAGGTAGGATTGTTTCCCAGTTCAACAGATGAGGGAACTCAAGTGTAGAAAGGGAAATGACGCCGGGCGTGGTGGCTCATGCCTGTAATCCTAGCACTTTGGGAGCCTGAGGCAGGCAGATCACGAGGTCAAGAGTTGAAGACCAGTCTGGCCAACATAGTGAAACCCTGTCTCTACTAAAAATACAAAAAACTGGCTGGGTGTGGCGGTGTATGCCTGTAGTCCCAGCTATTTGGGAGGCTGAGGCAGGAGAATCACTCGGGAGGCGGAGGTTCCAGTGAGCTGAGATCATGCCATTCCACTCCAGCCTGGGCAACAGAGCAAGACTCTTGTCTCAAAAAAAAAAAAAAAAAAAACAGCAACAACATAAAGGGGAAACAACTTCCCCAGCATCACATAGGAGATAGCAGAGCTGGCACTCGGACCCTCGTTAGCCTAACTTCTGACTCTAAACTTTCCATCGTTGTGATCTGCAGCAGGCCCTGAAAACCTCAGCACCCATAGGCAGGTAAACTATACAACAGGAGGAGGCTGAGGATTAGGCAGTATGGAGAGGTGGGGATTGTGGCATCTAGAGGAATAGCTCTTCTCAATTTCTGTCAGCTGACCGATCCTTTTGTAGTTCATAAGCACCATGATTTTTATTTATTTGTTTATTCGTTTTTTGAGACAGGGTGTCACTCTGTTGCCCAAGCCGGAGTGCAATGCTGTGATCTTGGCTCACACCGAGATCTTCTGGGTTTAAGCAATTCTTACGCCTCAGCTTCCCAAGTAGCTGGAATGACAGGTGTGCCCCACCACACCTGGCTAACTTTTGTAACTTTTGTATTTTTAGTAGAGACAGGGTTTCACTATGTTGGCCAGGCTGCTTTTGAAGTCCTGACCTCAGATGATCTGCTCACCCCAGCCTCCCGAAGTGCTGAGCCACCATGCCTGGCCACAATGATTAGGATTTTATGCACATGTGAGAGCCGTGCCTCCCTTAAACCGTGTTATGATCTTGGCACATTACCTGTCTGACATGACAAAGTACAAATAAACTGGGCTAATTGTGGCTCATGCCTGTATTCCCACCACTTTGGGAGGCTCAGGCAGGAGGATCGCTTGAGCTCAGGAGTTTGAGACCACCCTGGGCAAAATAGTGAGACCCCATGTCTATAAACGTAAAAATAAAAATTGGAAATTATAATTTAAAAAATTACTGGCTGGCGATGTGGCTTACACCTGTAATCCCAGCACTTCAGGAGGCTGACACAAGAGGATCACTTGAAGCCAGGAGTTTGAGACCAGCCTGGGCAACACAGTGAGACCCTGTCTCTCCAAAAATTTTTTTAAAAATTATCTGGGTGTGGTGGTTCGTGCCTGTAGACCCAGCTATTTAGGAGGCTGAGGAAGGAGGATTGTTTGAGTGTGGGAAGCAGAGGTTGCAGTGAGCTAAAAAGTTAGAAAAACAAAACAAAGTCCAGTCATTTGTTGGCAGGTGGCATGGCTGGAATAGTGTTTCAGAGAAGTTGAAGGTCCCAATACTTATGTAAACTCTCCGGATTCCAGATCTTTTAAGTAGAAGGTATATTGAACACAACCAACACACTTTCTTTTTGAGACAAAGTCTCGCTCTATCGCCCAGACTGAAGTGCAATGGCACGATCTTGGCTCACTGCAACCTCCCCCTCTGGTTATTCTCCTGTCTGAGCCTCTCAAATAGCTGGGATTACAAGTGCCTGCTACCACAACCAGCTAATTTTTGTATTTTTAGTAGAGACGGGATTTCACCATGTTGGCCAGGCTGCTCTTGAACTCCCAACCTCAGTTTATCCACCCGCCTCAGCCTCCCACAGTGCTGGGATTACAGGTGTGAGCCACCACGCTCAGCCAACCAACACATTTAATAACTGGATTGTGTTTTTGCCTGGGAGTCGTGATTTCTGTTCTTTCTGTCTTCTCTGGTTGGTTGGTTGTTTTAATTATGTGTAAAGACAGGGTCTTTATTTGTTGCCCAGGCTGATTGTGAACTCCTGGGCTCACATGACCCTCCTGCCTGCCTTGGCCTCTCAGAGTGGTGGGATCACAGGCATGAGCCACTGCACGCAAGCTAGTCTCCTGTCTCTTGAGAGTTCATATCTAGCTCTACCTCCCAGCACTCCCTAGTCCCTTCCCTGACCTCAGGGGCCTACAGATCCCACTGTCCCTCTTTCAAGGACAGGGGTGAAGGATGCTGCTGTTGAGGGGACCTGGGAGGCTGGGAGGAGGGTTTGTTCTCTTACCTTTCCCAGCATGGCTTGGTAGGGGCCACAGGTCAATTGAGCTCTTTTGGAAGAGGCAGACAGGGTGGACCCTAAGTGCCCCACGGGTGGTGCCTGTGTGTCCCTCCCACCGCAGAGAGAAGGGCCGTAAGGAGAGAGAGTCACTGCAGCAGATGGCTGAGGTCACCCGAGAAGGGTTCCGCCTGAAGAAGGTCCTTATTGAGGACTGGAAGAAGGCTCGGGAGGAGAAGCAGGTGAGGAGCCTGCAGGGCTGCCCCAGGGGGATCTGAGCCTTGAGACTTGGTAGCTTGGGCCTGCAAGGCCTGGGTGAGGTTTGCCCCGACTCCTGTCCTGGGGCAAGTGACTGCCTGCCTGCACTTCACTTTCACAGTTGTGTGCTAGGCATTTAGTTATTGGTTAAGTATAATAGTTTCCAAGTGGGAGGCAGTCAGCTTAGGTATTTATCAGGGCTGTTAGAGACAGAATACTTGTTCTCAGGTACTGCAAGAAAAAATTATCATTCAGACAAAAAGTTCTCTCAGCAAGGCAATTTTACTTTCTGCAGAAAGGGTGCTCCTGTTAGCCATCTTATCACAAGAGTTCAATGAAAAAGGAAAGGCAGCCATATTTATTCCTTATGCATTGGGTCCTTACTGCTGTTTCTGATCTCCATTGGTTGGAGCTGGACCTCACAACCTAAACTAAAACCCAACTGGCTAACAACTTAAAACTTTTCTTTTTTTTTTTTTTTTTGAGACGGAGTTTCGCTCTTGTTACCCAGACTGGAGTGCAATGGCGCGATCTCGGCTCACCGCAACCTCCGCCTCCTGGGTTCAGGCAATTCTCCTGCCTCCGCCTCCTGAGTAGCTGGGATTACAGGCACGCGCCACCATGCCCAGCTAATGTTTTGTGTTTTTAGTAGAGACTGGGTTTCACCATGTTGACCAGGATGGTCTCAATCTCTTGACCTCGTGATCCACCTGCCTCGGCCTCCCAAAGTGCTGGGATTATAGGCGTGAGCCACCGAGCGCTGCCTCAAAACTTTTCTAAATAGGTAAAGGCAATGGAGAACGAAGGAAAAGAGGCAGTCCAAATGAGGAAGGGGCATACGCTGCAAGCTGGGACACGCTTGTGAGCACGTCCAGCACAGACATCTTGGTTAAAGTACATAAGGGCATAGAATGTACTATGTGCCTGTAAGCATGTCTAACAGCTGCATAGGATAAAGCTTAACAAAGAGTTATTAGCAAAAAGCAAGAAGGCTTTGAAGACAGTCTTTAAAGCAAACTTTTATTTCTAACATTTATTATTATTACTCTTTAACAAAAAGGAAATTTTTGAAGAGGAACTTTTTATTTTTTACAAGGGCCTTGGGCATCAGACTAAAGCAGCCTAAAAGGGCCTTGCTGCCTCCTGGGGATGGGAGGGTGGTTTCTCCATATCCCGGTTCTGTGGTCCCATTAGCTGTAAGATGGGCTGATGACAAGATGACTCCCCAGTTCTGACCTTAACAAGATAACATCAGCCAGTAGCAGCTGGATTAATTCCATAGGGTGGGTGCTTTGGGGTCCCTAGGCATGCATCTCCCTACCTTGCCTGTGTACTCGACAGGGGCTAGAAACCGATCTGGGTCTACCTCAAGGGATTCATTGCGAATGGGAGGGACAAACAACCAGGGCTGCTGGGCAAAGGGGAATTTGGGGTAGAGGCTCTTGCCAAGTACCTCTCTTGGCTTGAGGGCAGGAGACAAGGAAGGCTTCTTGGAGGAGGAGTCCTCGATCTCAAGTGAGATCTGTTCAGTAATTTGGAGTTAGTCAGGGAGAGTGTTCCAGGCTGAAGGAACAGCATGTTTGAAGAACCAGAGCCAGAAGAGTGTTTGGGGGTCTGAATGTTGTCAGGGCTACTGGGTCCTAGTAAGACAGGGATGCAGTAGGTGGGGCTGAGAATCAGGCAGGGCCGGATTACGTGGGGCCTTGTGGGCTACATTGAGGCATTTGGGCTTCTCCCCAGAGGACTACAGGGAACCCCACCCAGGGAGAGAGACCCAGTTTGGTGTGTGTTTTGGAACATCCCCTTGCTGCCCTGTGGAGTCGAGGTAGGGAGGTAGTAGTCAGTGAGGAGGAGGTAGAACAGAGGAGAGCTGGTCCTGCCTTCTGCCCACCCAGAAAAAGCTCATTGAGCTCCAGGCTGGGAAGAAGTCTCTGGAAGACCAGGTGGAGATGCTGCGGACAGTGAAGGAGGAAGCTGAGAAGCCAGAGAAAGAGGCCAAAGAGCAGCACCAGAAGCTGTGGGAAGGTATGGCATGAAGCGGTCCGAGGACTCGCCTGCAGTTCCTGGGTGGGAGGGGGTCTGGGCCTCGGAGTCTCTTGCTCATTATCTGTTGTCAGTTTCAGCAGATTTTTGATCATGGTGCCAATTTCCTTGTGTTCTTGCTTATCTTTGTGTGTTGGTCATCATGCTTGAAAATTATTTATAGAAACAATTTTCGATAATTATTTCTATAAATAATTTTCTATAATTACTTACAATTATTTCTATAAATAATTTTCAACTTAGGAAGAGAAGGTGTTCTCTAGAGAGAATCTTCTTTTCTCTCTGGCAGCGTTCAGGAACACTGCCATTCAGCAATCCCCCAAATGCAAATGCAAGGTTTGAGGTTCCTCCAACCTTTAGCAGTGTGTGAACTGAGATAGACACACAGGTTGGTTGTTTCTGATCCAGCCCGTCACTGAGGAGAGAGTCCCCTGAGGTTGTTGGAGTGATCTCCTATTAGTCTCCCTCATTGCACTCCAACGTGGGCAGCGAGAGCAAAACTCTGGCTCAGAAAAAAAGAGTTTTTTCTATCTGGGGTTTGGCCCTTTGTCTGCAACTAAAGATTTATTTATTTATTTATTTTTCTTTTTCTTCTTCTTTTTATTTATTTTTTTATTTTCTTTGAGATGGAGTCTCGCTCTTCTTACCCAGGCTGGCTGGAGTGCAGTGGTGCAATCTCTGCTCACTGCAACCTCCGCCTCCCACATTCAAGCAATTATCCTGCCTCAGCCTCCCAAATAGCTGGGATTACAGACACCTGCCACCACACCTGGCTAATGTTTGTATTTTTAATAGAGAAGGGGTAGCCGGGCGCGGTGGCTCACGCCTGTAATCCCAGCACCTTGGGAGGCCGAGGCGAGTGGATCACGAGGTCAAGAGGTCGAGACCATCCTGGTCAACATGGTGAAACCCCGTCTCTACTAAAAACACAAAACATTAGCTGGGCATGGTGGCGCGTGCCTGTAATCCCAGCTACTCAGGAGGCTGAGGCAGGAGAATTGCCTGAACCCAGGAGGCGGAGGTTGCGGTGAGCCGAGATCACGCCATTGCACTCCAGCCTGGGTAACAAGAGCGAAACTCCATCTCAAAAAAAAAGAAAAAGAAAAAGAGAAGGGGTTTCACCATGTTGGTCAGGCTGGTCTCAATCTCCTGACCTCAGGCAGCCTGCCTCGGCCTCCGAAATGCTGGGATTACAGGTGTGAGCCGCTATACCCAGCCCTGTCTGTTACTGAAGATATTATTTCCCTTTTTCATTTGTTTTTGGTGCTAGGGCCTGGTGCTTTTTTTTGCAAGGCCTCGTTGTTTGTAGAAAGGGAATTCATTGTCTGGCTTTCTGCCCCTGAACCTCTGCCCTGCTGCAAGGTTCTTTTCATGTGGGTCTGGGCAAGCTCGGGCTTGATTTCCCTTAGGATGTGGTGTTCTTGGTGGGGAGCTGCGGAATCAGAGGGAAGCGCCATGTTTTGACCCAGATTCCCAAAGGGTGGCGGAGCCGAGCCTGGACTCTTGGGGCGGTTGGCCTGGCGTGGGCCCCAGGCTACACCCCTCCCTGGCTGGGTGCTGATGAGCAGATCCCTTCACCCACGAAAACTGAGGAACCCCTCAGGCTCTCATCTGTGAGGCTCAGAACAGTGTCAGCCGGGTCTTTTGGGACACATGGGATCTCCTAGGGTGACCCAAATCTCTCTAGAGCAGGCGTCCCCAAACTTTTTGCACAGGAGGCCAGTTCACTGTCCCTCAGACCGTTGGAGGGCCGCCACATACTGTGCTCTTCTCACTGATCACCAATGAAAGAGGTGCCCCTTCCTGAAGTGCGGCAGGGGGGCTGGATAAATGGCCTCAGGGGGCCACATGCGGCCCGGGCCGTAGTTTGGGGACGCCTGCTCTAGAGGAATTACCGGCTGTTCTTACTGTTTGTAGAGGACCAAGCTGGAGCTTGGTATACAGTGGGAAGTTCGTCATTGGAGCAGCTGTTGTGGCTGCTCTCCCCTCCGCTTTGGCTGGGTGGAGCAGTGGCAGACGCATGAGGGGCTTCTGGGACAGCAGCTCAGTCCCATTTTGTCCTGCTGGCCCCTCTTCCTGGGACGCCCCCGAGGCCGGTCTCCCTCCCTCTGTCCTCCCCATCTCCCAGCGTCCTTGGCCCAACACCCCTCTGCCAGGCCCTAAACCGAAAGTCTCAGTGGCCAAACTCCTCTCCCCCACCCATCTCCCACCTCCGACCCTCTGCGCACCCCATCTACGCCTCCCTGGAATCTGCCTCAGCTCCATGCTTCTTCCTCCACCCCCAGCCTAGGCCGGCCCTTGTTGTCACCTGGCTCCCTCCCTCAACCCCACGACCCCACCCCCGTCCCAACAGTGGCCTGACATGCCTCCCTCTGCCACCTGGCTTCCCGTCTCCCTGCTGCAGCCCTGAGGTGGCCCTCCTGCCCCTGCGCCCTGCCCCCTGCCCCACTCACCCTCCTGCCCCTGCGCCCTGCCCCGCCCACCCTCCTGCCCCTGCCCCTGCCCCCCGCCCCGCCCACCCTCCTGCCCCTGCCCTGCCCATCTCCCCCAACACAAGCAGTCTTAGTCATTCATCTTGCTTGTTCGGCCTCCCCTGCTAAGGGCAGGGACCTTTGTCTCCTCCACAGTCATGTCCCCAGGGTCCCTTGTGGGGCCAGGTGCACTGTAGGTGCTCGGTGGCAAATGACTCTGTGGGGTGCTGGGGGTGGTGGGAGCCGGCAGGTGGGCAGGGGTGATAGAGGCAGCCTCTTTACAGAGCAGCTGGCTGCCACCAGAGCCCAGCGGGAGCAGGAGCTGGCGGCCGACGCCTTCAAGGAGCTGGATGACGACATGGATGGGATGTGAGTGTCCCTGCGCTGGAGCTCCCCACCCTTCTGTGGGCCTGAGTTTCCCTCCCCACCACCCTCACCTTTAGAAACCAGCTAGAGCCCCCCTGGGTTCCCTCGGCCTGGGGTCCAGGCTGACCCCAAGCCCTGTGTGACCCTGCCTCTCTTACTCCTGGACCAGGAGACGGGGACCACCCTCTTTCCAGGAGCTCTGCACAGACTGTCAGCCTGAGGAAGTGTGGCTAGGGGTCCTAGCGATCGGATTGCTTTTCCCAGGCTCACTCTGTATGCTCTGGGGAAAGCCAGAGCTGGGTTTAAATCCTGGCTGTGCCTCTGAACTTACTGGGTTACCTGGTGGAGGGTGGACTTTTGGGGGCCAAGGGGGACACAGGGAGCCTAGGAGATGTGGGGTGCCAAGGAGCAGGGGGCTTCAGCGGAACCAAATGGGCAGCATGGGCAAGGGTGAGGGTGGGCTTTCGCTGGGTGGGGGACCCACTTCTGCGAGTGGAAGGAGGTGGCTCATGGGAGAGTTGGGAGAGAGGTCATCGGGAATTTGGGGGTCCAGGTGTCTCCCAGTCCCACCCCTTACTCTGAGCCTCTTTGGGGGTATGGAGTCCTGAGGAGGGGGCTGGAGATTGGGGAACCCCTGCACCTTGAGATTCTGAAGCAAGTTCCAGGGTGGTGCCCCTGGTCGGGAGGAACAGGTGGGCCATGTGGTGCTGAGAGCCACATGGGCCTCACCCCTTTAGTCTGCTTCTGCCACGCCCTGCAGGGTCTCACTGACCGAGCTGCAGACTCACCCGGAGCTGGACACAGATGGGGACGGGGTGTTGTCAGAAGCGGAAGCTCAGGTACCCTGGCTGACCCTTGGCTGGGGACTTGTAGACAGCATTGCCCCAGAGTGACCTCAGGGCACAGGAGGGGGACGCAGGAAAGCTCCCTTCTGGCCTGGGAGTTCCTCTGGGTGAACCCGGATGGCAGTCACCAAGGGCGGCTTCCCACCCGGTGGGACCCGGCCCCCACTCTCCCCGCTGTGTGGGCACCAAGTCCCCTTCCTGTCCCCTCACACCCCTGCCCTATTTCTCTCCTTCGCCATCCCCCTCTTCCCCATCCGCCGCCACCGCCCACCACCCACCCCCCACCCTGTCCCTGTGGCCCCTGGTTTCTGGCTCCCCCTCTGCCCAGCCCTGGTTTCGGGCTCCCCCTCTCTGCCCAGCCCTGGTTTCTCCCATCTCATTGCAGCCTTGACCTTGGCCTTGGCCTCGGCCTCTCCCTCGGAGAGCCTGGCCCTCTCTGGTCCTGGGCTCTCTCCTCCCTCCATCTGTCTGTCCATCTGCTGCTTTGTCTTTCTGCCTCAGTGTCCCCAACCACTCCAGCCCCCGGCCCCTCCTCCCATTCCACGGGCCTGTGCTGCCCTCTCCTGGCCTAAGTGCCTCACTGGCCTGGCCCAGGCCTGGTCGTCAGGGCCCAGCCTGCCTGTGCCTGGCACTGCAGCCCGGGTGCCTGGAGTAGCCCGGGAGGGGGCATGTGGCAGCTAAGATCTTGACACCACCCCCAACACACACAGGCCCTCCTCAGTGGGGACACTCAGACAGACGCTACCTCTTTCTACGACCGAGTCTGGGCCGCCGTCAGGGACAAGTACCGGTCTGAGGTCAGTCGGGGGGAAGAGAAGGGACTTGGCCTCCCCCCGCCCCCACCCCTCCTCACAAAGGAGCTGCCGCCAGTTCTGGCATCCGGCCACCCTGGCCAGCTGGGCGGCCCCAGCATCCCCCACTGAGGCACCCCCACCCCAGCTGTCAGTCCTCCCTGCAGGCCCTGAAGGAGGGGCAGACACCAAGCCTGCCCCTTGGGCCTCGGTGTGAGCCTGAGGGTGTGTGTAGGTGGACCCCGAGGCCGCAGCATCGACCACCCCGCTTTCCTGCCAGGCACTACCCACTGACCTTCCAGCACCTTCTGCCCCCGACTTGACGGAGCCCAAGGAGGAGCAGCCGCCAGTGCCCTCGCCGCCCACAGAGGAGGAGGAGGAGGAGGACGAGGAGGCTGAGGAGGAGGAGGAGGAGGAGGAGGAGGAGGGTTCCGAGGTGCAGGGGGAACAGCCTAAGGTCTGTGTTTGGGGGAGACGTGGGGACAGAGAGGGTGGGGGGAGCTGCTCATCGACCTTTCCCTTCCCCAGGAGGCCCCCCCGCCACTGGCCCCACCACAGCCGGCCAGCCCCGCAGAGGAAGACAAAATGCCGCCGTATGATGAGCAGACTCAGGCCTTCATCGACGGTGAGTAGGGGCGGGGGGTGGGGTGCCTAGCTCCTCGGGTGGGCCCAGCGTTTCCTGCCAGTGTGGCACAGCTCGGGGAAAGATCCCGGACCTGGCTCCTGCTCTGACGCGGCCAGCGCAAGCCCCAGTATGTTGGGGAGTCCGGGAAGGGGGCCTAGGGTCAGCCAGCCCCACCCTCACCAGCCCCAAGGGGCCCCTCTACCTCCCCAAGGATGGCAGCTTGTTTGTCATTCCTGGCAGCCCCAGGAGCCCTGGCCCTTCTCCCTCCGGAGCCTGGGCAGCAAGGTGGGCCTGCCCTGCAGCTGGCGAGGCCTGGGGGCTGTCTGGGCAAAAGCCTTGACCGGAGCATAACCAGGGTACAGGAGGACACAGCCGCTTCCGTGGAACCCTGTTCCCCATCCTCCTGAGCGGGAGTGAGGACATCTCTGACCTCCACCCTCTCCCCACAGCTGCCCAGGAGGCCCGAAACAAGTTCGAGGAGGCCGAGCGATCCCTGAAGGACATGGAGGAGTCCATCAGGTATGGGGGGGGCTGAGGAGGCGGGGACACCTGTTCCACAGCACCCAGGGCCTGGTTCCCAGGGGAGCCGGTGATAGGAATCAACGAGGCAGCTGCAGGGAGGGTCCCCGGGAGGTGGCAGGGAGGACAGCCCGTGCTCCACGGCTCGGCCAGGCCCTCCTGTGTCTGTTGGGCTGGGTCAGGCACTGTCGTTCCCAGCTGCCCCTGAACCGCTCCGCCCCCTCTTCCAGGAACCTGGAGCAGGAGATTTCCTTTGACTTTGGCCCTGATGGGGAGTTTGCCTACCTGTACAGCCAGTGCTACGAGCTCACCACCAACGAGTGCGTCCTAGGGGTGCAGGGGCCCCCACTGGCAGGGTGGGAGGTGGGTGGCCCTGGAACGGGCGCCATCGGAGTTTCCTGATGGTTGGGAACCATCTGCGGGGTGGGGCCAGGGGGCAGGCTTAGGGTTGGTCACTGCAGTTTGAGGTACCCTGTGTGCGGGGACAGGAGGAGGCAGGGAGGGGCTGTGGGAGGAGGCTGGGATCCCTGTGTCCCCACCCCACGTGCCTGGTCCTCCACAGATACGTCTACCGCCTCTGCCCCTTCAAGCTTGTCTCGCAGAAACCCAAACTCGGGGGCTCTCCCACCAGCCTCGGGTGAGTGGCTTGGGCTGGCCCCGTCCTGCTGCCCGCTCCTGGTGTCCTGGCCCCCACCCAGCCCTCAGCACCCTGTGTCTCTCGCAGTACCTGGGGCTCGTGGGCTGGCCCCGACCACGACAAGTTCAGTGCCATGAAGTACGAGCAAGGCACGGGCTGCTGGCAGGGCCCCAACCGCTCTACCACCGTGAGTACCTGTGGGGTGGGGAGCGGGGCACGGAGACCCAGGCCCGGCCCGGCCGAACCCTCTTGAGCGCCTGTGTGCCCATTCCCAGGTGCGCCTCCTGTGTGGGAAGGAGACCATGGTGACCAGCACCACCGAGCCCAGCCGCTGCGAGTACCTCATGGAGCTGATGACGCCGGCCGCCTGCCCTGAGCCCCCGCCTGAAGCACCCACAGAGGGCGACCATGACGAGCTCTAGCTGGCTAGGCACAGAGGTGGGCGGGGAGGTGGAGTCTTGGGCTGCCCAGCTAGGGGAGGCAGCAGGCCCTGAGGAAGATGGACCCACATGGCCACTCTGTCAACCTGTGTCCCCTGCTTATTTTTGTTTTGAGGCAGAGTCTCACTCTGTCGCCCAGGCTGGAATGCAGTGGTGCGATCTCTGCTCACTGTAACCCTTGGTTCCCAGGGTCAAGTGATTCTTCAGTCTCAGCCTCCCGAGTAGCTGGGATCACAGGCATAAACCACCGCCCCCAGCTAATTTTTATATTTTTAGTAGTGATGGGGTTTTGCCATGTTGGCCAGGCTGGTCTCAAATTCCTGACCTCCGGTGATCCGGCCACCTCAGCCTCCCAAAGTACTGGGAATACAGGCCTGAGCCACCGTGCCTGGCCATCCCCTGCTTTTTAAAAACAAGTTTTCTTTTACTTTTGAAAATAAATAGACCAGGTGTGGTGGCTCACACCTGTAATCCCAGCACTTTGGGAAGCCGAGGCTGGCCAATCCCTTGAGGTCAGGAGTTTGAGACCAGCCTGGCAAACATGGCGAAACCCTGTCTCTACTAAAAATATAAAAAATTAGCTGGGTATGGTAGCAGGTGCCTATAGTCCCAGCTACTGGGGAGGCTGAAGCACAAGAATTGCTTGAATCTGGGAGGTACAGGTTAGAGTGAGCCAAGATCATGCCACTACACTGCAGCCTAGGTGACAGAGCGAGATTTGCTCTCAAAAAAAAAAAAAAAATTAGAAAAGGTCTCCAGGCTGGTCAACTCCTGGCCTCAAGTGATCCTCCCACCTCAGCCTCCCAGGCAGCTGGGACTACAAGCAAACGTGACCATGCCCAGCCGTCCCCAGCTTTCTAATCTGGTCTTTCTCCTGCCCCAGAACCTCAAGACTGTTGTGAAACCAGCCCCTGCAGTGCTGTCCACCCACCCCTCCCGGGCCTGCCTGTGGCTCTGTCGCCCTCCTCTGTGGGTAACAGGACCTATATGGGGCTTCCTGCCCTGCTCTGAGGCCCAGGCGGAGCTGGTCCGTATTCCTAGGCCCCAGCGGCCTCCCAAGATGGGATAAAGGAGCTTGCCCTCCCTGGGCCCCCCACCACCCCCAGCCCTACCCCTGCCTCCCCTCCTGTTGGGGACCAGTGAATGACTTGACCTGTGACCTCAATACAATAAATGTGATCCCCCACCCAAACCTGCCTGTGTCCGACTGGATTTGCTGGGGATGGACCGGGGCAGGGGCAAGCGAGGGACGCAGCTGTCTGCAGACCCCGCCCGGGGCCTCCCCACCATCCGGGGATCCCACTGGAAGATAACAGGTGGATGAACCCTAGGCCACTTCTGTCTGAGCGTCCACCCAGGCCCCTGTTCCACCCTCCCTAGGTCTCACCCATGCTCTGTGGAGGTCAAGGGTTCTCTCCTGGGCCCACAGCTCCTGCTGCAGACACACCCTGGCCCAGAGAGGGACAGAAGCCTGGGTGCTGTCACACAGGACACTCCTGCATGTACCCTCCCACCTGTGCAGAGATGACCCAAGGCCATAAGATTCTGAACTTTTATTTTCTGGCATGAAAAGTACAAATAATTAAACAATTCCATGTAAAAGTCTGTTACCGCGGCCAGGCCTGTAATCCCGGTAATAAATAGTCTAAACGCAACGCAAAGTGTTCCTGTTGGGTTTTTTTGTTTTTTTTTTTGTCTTTTGTTTTGTCTTTTTTTTTTTTTTTTTTTTTTTTTTTTCAGTTCTTTATCACCTCCAACATGGACTCTGTCGTGATTTGAAACCTTCCGAATAAATAACAGGATGAAGGGAGGGGTGGAGGGGCTGAGCCCCCTCCCCCCCGACCTGGCCTCTGCCCCCCAGGGTGTGGAAGACCCCAGGTCCCCTCCCCTGGGAGCCCTGACCTGGTCCCCTGAGGGGAGGGGCTGGCCTCCAGGGAGGGGGCCTAGCTGGGCTGAGTTTTGTGATTTAGAAAAAGAAGTCCCCTCCCAGTTTTGGGGGGCGGCAGGGACCTAGGCCTTGGTGGGGGGGGTGTGGGGAGGTGCCCCCTCTCTGGAGCCTGGCCCCCCCCAGGGTGGGGGACAAACCCAGCCCTTATTGCTCGGACGCCCTGCTGCAAACTTCCCACGCTCATACGCGTGTTCCTGAATGCAGAGGGCGGAGGGGAGAGAGCCCCAAGAGACAGCAGGGGAGAGGGGTCCCTGCCCTGCTGGAGGGGAGAGAGGGGAGAGGGCAGGGAGGACTTAAAACCACAAGAATAAATAGGTTCATGTATCAAGAACAAGCTAGGGATTTCACCAGCTAAATAGGACTGAAAAAATTCTCAAGACAAGAGCAAAAAGAATCCCACTGATGACCTGGACGTCGCTGGCCGGGCGGACTGCCCCGAAGAGCACACGCCCCCGGGTGCCACTCGGCTACCATCACTGTTATTAATAATTATTATTACTTTAATGATTCCACTTCCCCTTTTATAAATAAATTAGGCATAACCATGTCTCAGCAAAACTTAAAGAAACAAAGAGAACATTGTCGTTCCTTTAACTTGCAAACCGGATGAAGTAACAGAAATATACACGGATGTCCTTACAGGGCAACGAGGAGAATAAATAGTTAACATAGCAATAAGTTAAAACTACAAGAAGCTAAATTCAGCAAAAAAGTACAAGAAAGTTAACTGGTGCCAGTTTATGTCTTTTTTTTTTTTTCCTTTTTTTTTTTTTAAATCTCTTCTGTGTTTTCTTTTTTTGTTGCTTTTTTTTTCCTCTTCTGTTTGTGTTTTTTTGTCGCTTTTTTGATTTTTTTTCTTTTTTGTTCCTTGCAGCAGAAGCTCCACAGACGTTTAATAACAACACCGGGAGGGGTGGGGGAGAGAGAGCTGGACAGTCAGATGGGGGGCGCCATAGCCAGACACCAAACGTGGGGACACGGGGGAAGGCAACTTAACTATAGCTAAAGTCGGGGTTTTGCAATTCTCAGTTCCGACGGGGCCGCTGAGGGGGCTGGGGAGCGGTGCGAGGGCTCCCAGGGGCCCCAGCCTGTGGCTTCTGTTGGAATTTTTTTTTTTTAAAGAAAGAAAACTAGGGCGATGCAACGTCCAGACAGAAGCCGGGGGGCCGGGGCTCGAGATCGGGGGCTGTGTTCACTGCAATCTGGAAAGACGAAAAACCCAACAAACCCAAAGGGGGTAGGTAGCTGACAAGTGGACGGGAAAGGAGTGCGGGGCCAAGCCCTTGGGGCCAGTCCACCCTACCCTGGGCCTGGCGGGTAATGCCGGTGGCGGGGCGGTGGGGAGGGCTTGCTGCTGGGGAGGCCCAGTCCTGGTGGGGGAGGCTCAGGGCTGGGCCTCTCCCTCAGCTGCATAGGCCAAGGCCTCGGCCCAGGGGGAGGCTGAGCCCCGGAGACAGGGATGTCCTTTGGCCTCAAGTGTTGTGGGGGGGGGGGCTGCCTCCAGCCCACCGTGATGCCAAGGTGGAACGAGGTATCGTGTGTCTCAATGCATGTGCGCTGTGTGTGCACGCCTGTGTTCGTGGGCGCCAAGGAGACCCTGGGGGTCCAGGAGAGATCTCTGCAGAGAATGGGGTGGGGGCCAGGGCATGAGGGGCCAGGAGGGCGAGGGAGTGTCTGGGGTGGGACCTCCTGCCTGGGCCTGTGGGATGCTATGGGCTTATGTCTGCGTGTTCCTGGGTGGTGTTTCTCTGTGACCGAGTGTCCAGATCCAATGTCCAAATATTTATCGCTACATTCATGTGGGCACGTGGACAGGCAGATTCGTGTGCCCACATCTGTGGTCCGTGTCCAAGTGGACATAGCCCTAACCTCTGTCTCCTCCCGTCTATCCCTGTCCACGCATCTCAGTTTGGCCAACCAGTCCCTTCACGCGTCCGGCGTGCCGCTGTGTCTGTCTGCGTCTGTCCGTGTGTCCCCGTGGTGTGAGTGTCTGTGTGGGTGTTTCTCTGTGTGGCCCCAAGGGCTGCCAGCCCCTAAGCCCCACTCCCCGGCCCCCCCATCCCCGCCCCAGTTGGTAAACATAACCTGCCAAAATATTTTCTTTTTTTTTTTTTTTGTCTTTTTTTGTGTTTTTTTTTTTTCAAGTTCAAGAATCCCCAGTAAAAATTCTCCACGAGGTCTTTTTCCCTTTTTACAAAAATAGAGTTTTTCTTCCCCTCCCACCCCCCCTTTTTTTTCATTTTGTTTCTGCTTCCAGCCCCACTGCCTGATCCCCGCATTTCACCAGGGGGCACTGGGCCGGGGGTGCCCACACCCCTCCTCACGGTTTGCTTTTTTGGGGATTTTTAAACCTGTTCCTCCTACCCCAGGCCCCACCTAGGTGCTGGGGAGGCCTGGGCAAGGGGATCTGGGAGGGGCACCCCCTGGAGCCCCCCAAGCCATCCCATCAGGGGTGGTCGAGGGTGGGGGTAGGGGCACATCTCTGCATTCTTTTTAGCCGAAAAAAGAAACAAAAACCTTCATCATGAACCAAACCAAGACGAGAGAGTGAACAGCCCAGCCTGGGGTGGGGGTGAGGAGGATGGGGTGGGGGACCCCCAGGCACCCCCCCTCCACTCCCTGCAGACCCTACCACCCCCCGAGTGCTCACCCTGTGGCTTCTGCAGGGACGTGGGGCCCTCGCATCGTCCGTGGGGCTGCCTGTGCTGTCTCTCTTGGGCCCCTTCTCTCTCTCTCTCTCTCTCTCTCTCTCTCTCTCTCTCTCTCTCTCTGCTGCCCGGGGAGGGGGTGGGAGGGCAGGCGGGGTGGGCTCAGGCCTTGTGCTGTTTGCTGGTCTTGAAGGAGACCTGCAGCACGCGCTCTCCCAGGCGATAGCCATTCAGGCTGGCGATGGCCATGGCTGCCTCATCATAGTTGGTCATGGTCACGAAGCCGAAACCCTTGCACTTGTTGGTGGTGAAGTCACGGATGACCTTGACGTTGGTGACCGCCCCAAAGGGCCCAAACAGCTGCCACAGCACGCTCTCGTCCGCCTCTGGTGACAGGTTGTACACGAAGATGCACCAGCCGGCGCCTGCCGCACCGCCTGACAGGCCCACGCCCGCCAGGCCACTCATGCCGTCGATGGCGATGGGGGAGAACCTGGCGATGAGCGACAGGGGACTACTTTGGGGGTCACGCGGGCTCTGCCCTGACCCCCCGCATGCTTCCGACCCTGCTGTGACCTCACACCTTTATGACCTGTGACTGCCATGACCTTGGAATGGTGTGACCCCTGCAATACAATTTTTTTTTTAAGAGACAGGGGCTTGCTCTGTCACCCAGGCTGGAGTGCAGTGGTACAATCATGGCTCACTGCAGCCTTGACCTCCTGGGCTGAAGCAATACTCCTGCCTCAGCCTCCTGAGTAGCTGGGACTACAGGCAAGTGTCCCTCACACCTAGCTAATTTTTTTTTTTTAAGACGGAATCTCGAGCTCTGTCATCCACACTGGAGTGATGTGGCACGATCTTGGCTCACTGCAACCTCCACCTCCCGAGTGCAAGAGATTCTCCTGCCTCAGCCACCATACCCAGCTAATTTTTGTATTTTTAGTAGAGATGGGGGTGTCACTGCACTGGTCAGGCTGGTCTCAAACTCCTGACCTCAGGTGATCTACCCACATCAGCCTCCCAAAGTGCTGGGATTACAGGTGTGAACCACCGCACCCAGCCACATTTTTTAATTTTTGGAGACAAGGTCTCACTCTATCACCCAGGCTAGAGTGCAGTGGCACCATCGTAGTTCACTACAGCCTCTAACTCCTGGGCTCAAGCAGTCCTCCCACTTCAGCCTCCTGAGTAGCTGGAACTACAGACCTATGCCACCACACCAGGCCAATTCTTGTTTTTTTCTTTTTAGAACAGAGTCTGACTCTGTCACCCAGGCTGGAGTGCAATGTCAAGATCTCGGCTCACTGCAACCTCTGCCCCCTGGGTTCAAGCGATTCTCCTGCCTCAGCCTCCCGAGTAGCTGGGATTTACAGGCGCCTGACACCGTGCCTAGCTAATTGTTGTATGTTTAGTAGAGATGGGGTTTCAACATCTTGACCAGGCTGGTCTTGAACTCCTGACCTCTTGATCCACCCACCTTGGCCTCCCAAAGTGCTGGGATTACACGCGTGAGCCACCGCGCCTGGCTGCAGCCGTAAGTCTTTAAAAAAAATTTTTTTTTGTAGAGAAGGATATTGCCCAGGCTGCTCTCAA